CATTAGACGTTTCCAGATCTCAAGGACAATAAAATTCGCTTGGTGATTATTCGTCTTCCTCGTCCATGTTCTCTGTAAAATCTCAATCTTTTAGGTAGTTTCTTTGCGAAGAATGAGAGTATTTACACGTTTTCTTTTCGTAGTTTCAGTTGCAAATCTCGAATTTGCCGACTTTCGAAAACAAAAAATACACAGCGTATGACCGTTTCCATGGAAACGGTCAGTATGGCGAAATCCCGACTAAGATAGAACCAATCAGAACGCTCGGATTTACCTCAAGACTATCTTGACATATAATAATGCTGTATATTTTTACGAGTTGTGCCGTATTTTGATGAGCCCATAGGGCGAGTCAAAATACAAACAACGAGTAAAAACATAAAGCGATACTACACACCAAAACATCTAATAAAAAATTTATTATTCAACTGCCGTAGTCAATAAATTTATAAGTGGAAGAGGGAGAGTGCGACAGTTTTGCGTGCGCGCGCCGACATGTCCGGCAAACAGGTTTTCTACTGTACAAATCACTGTACGATATCGCTGTATATTTGTACTGTTATTTGGACGGTATTCGCTGCAGTTGGATAATAACATTCGGATATTCCCCAGTTTTAGCTGGCGGATATTCAGTCACTTCGCGCTTAGACCGATCGCGCGCGAACGAACAATTTGTGGAGAGTCTTCGGAAATCTTCGGAAAGTGGTCGGAAATCTTTGGAAAATCGTCAAAAACGTCGTTATTAGTATGTTAATATAATAGACAAATAATACATGGTTTCTTGTAGATATGAAATTTATCTTCTCGTGTCCAACTTTATATCTCAAGGGCTCACTCGTGAAAAATTCCATATCTACACGCGCCCATACCCATGTATTATTTTCTATTTCATTAACATTTTCAGCCTCTCAAGATAAAGTGTGGTGAGCGTTGAAACAAAGTAGGTAAAAGTAATAATCAAAGGTATTTATAACAAAATTCTCGTCTCGTGATTGGTTCTCCGCGCGCCTATTCGTCACGTAATCGACGCTTGATCACGTGGGTGTCCAATTACAGATATCCAATTTGAACTTTTGTAATTGGATACGATTACTTCCTTAATAATATACATGAAAAAATTACTCGATTTTGATTGGCTGAGAGCAGTGCAAATGAGAAAAAAATGGCTTCAAGAAAGATCTTTAGGCACTTCCTCGACGTGAATTTTTTCATGTTTGTATTATTAATAAGTAATCATACGGTTTTTCCCGTTCAATTTGGAATTAATTTGCACTTGTGGGTTTTTCAAAAAGCTGAAACTGCACTCGTCGAAGCGGCTCGTGCAATTTCAGCTTTTTGAAAAACTCACCCGTACAAATTAATTCCAAATTGAACGAGAAAAACCGTATGATTACCTATAAGAATTGTTTGACCTAATTACTAATTAATCGTATCTATCGAAAATTTCGGAATAGAAAATGTCTTTTGGGAACTTCGTTTGAGCGAAAAGTTTGTAGCTCTTTTCGTAAGTTTTAAAAACTGTAGGAAACATTCAGAAGGAAGCCATTAAAGCGTGCGTAATTGACGTGCGAATGACGTAGGTATCCAATTACACGTGCTCGTAATTTCAAAATGGCCTCGCGCGGTTACTCCTTGTACTCTACTCGGTCCAATTACTATAACTTATTACCCGTTAACATTTTCAGCCTCCCAAACTGAACATCTCTAGACGAGAAAGCTGTCCAATGAGTTAAGCGTAAGGGAAGAAAACCCAAAAATAATTAAGTAGATTTAGTAGGATTTAACCGAAAGCTTTGCATTTAGATAACCTTAGGCGATAGGAAGAAAGACAGAAAAATCAGCAATGTTAATAATTGTGCCATCTGTGAGCGAGCTATATTCTTTCTCGTTACTGGAGACCGATTCAGTTTGAAAACTCGAGAAAAACGAAAGCAAAGAAAAAGTAAATACAGAGCAAAGTCTCAATTTACGGCTAGCCTTCTTTAGTGCTAGAGTTTAGGACTCACAATCCTTCAAACTCGGCAACTGAATAGCAGTGAGAGAATTCTCGTCCAAACTTTGATTATGTGTGCCCAAAACAGTAATCCATTGAAAGCAAGCGATATTTAATTTCTTTCTTAAGATGAATACCACAAACTAAACTTGACTTCCAGCACTCGGTTGCTTATATACAGTTGTGTTTAACAAATAAAGAGGCCTCGACTGTGCTCTGTTCTGTTGTAAAGCACGCAGGAAGCGGTAGAGCACGGAAGAAGTGTAGGGGAAAGCACGAGACGTAGTCGAGTGTTTTTCCTTACTTCTTGAGTGCTCTACCACTTCCTAAGAACTTTACAACAGATCAGGGCACAGTCGAGGCCTCTTTATTTGAAATTACCAAACAAGGAGCTCAAAGCTTGCGGATGAAAATGCGAAATGCTGCGTTAAATTTGAAAGAAGCTACAGTTACTTACGGCTTGCAGCCGCTTGCAGCAAGATTGCCCGAACTAGCGTAAAAGTTAGAAAGACTGAACTGCCCCCACTGGTTCTACTACGAGCACAGAAGAGAATATCAGAGCAAGCTTTGAACTGGCCACTCGTCGGTTCACTTCGCTGAGATGACCAGAGAACGAGCGTCACTACACTGTATGTGAGTGTTGTTTGAGCAATTGGGCATTTTTACAATTGTTGTTTTCGGTCGTTGTTTTACTTCTAAGGTATAATTTCTGCCTTCAAAACAAATATAATGTCTGTTATCGAATCACTGGTTAGGTTGAGAATTTGCTTATTTCG